GAAGAGAAACCATATGGGCTCTCTGTCTTTCATATAAACATACAACAGAATGGAGTGGGGGTTACCCTTCTCATGATCCACTGATAAACTTGATTTGGATAGTCATTGCATTTGTTTGGTTAAGCCAGATGGCTGTGGTCTACACATATATACTTATGTTTGCATACATGTGTATGTATGTATGTATGTATGTATATACATTTGTTTATTTCCAGGGAAACTAAGTTGTCAAGAGAGGCATAAGAATATGAGAATAGTCCTGAGCATAACAAACATAACTCTCTGTAAGTTCACATACAAGAGGAGTTCGCTGTCTAGAGCTGCCTCTAATAACATCAGACACAGCAGGATCATTTAGGGCCAAGTCTGCCAACAGCAGCTCTTCTGCTCCCACAGCAGGTGGACAGAGGTGGTAAATGCAGCAATAGCACACTTGGCAGGCCGCAGCTTATTTCTGGTGAGTCATGAGTTTGTTCGGCCAGGCTGAAGCTGTGAGATAACAGGAATGTTATTATGTCCTCCCTATACCTCCAGGGTCTAAGGTGTACCTTCCACCGATGAAGTGGTTAGAGGCAGGGGTCAGGGCATCTGGGTTTACAATACCAATGGGTATTGCTGGCTAGGAGCTGCTTCCATTCCCAGAGACCTGAAATTCAAAAGGGTCTTTGGCTGATCTATTGGGATAGCTTCCAATGTCACCTGCTACTTCAGTTTCCAGCCAAATTTGATCAAACTCTCATTTAATTCAGCAGAATGGATACGCAGATAACACCTGAACAGTCCCACTTAGTGACAGGCTTCCTTTCTGATAGTGGCAAGCCAAGGTTAGGAATGATTTCATTGATGTCTCTAGGACTAGACCATGTTTTTTTCTAAGGTCTCTGACATAAATGGTTTATCGCTGTGTCTTATCAGAGCTAATGAGCTTCCCAAGACCATTTACCAGGAGCCTATGAACACAAAATCATCAATGTAATGGTGCCAGCTCAGGTTTGGATAAATGGGATTGGCTTGTGTTTTGATTCTCCAATACGGTGGCAAATAGCAGGAGAATCCAAACAGTACTTCATGGGCTGGAGAGATGGCTGAATGGCTAAGACCATATACCCACTGCTCTCAGTTACCAGGACACACATGGAGTGACTCACAACTGTCCATAACTCTAGTGTTTTGACTGCACAATAGCATGATTTAGAGTCTTGGGTAGGGAAAAAGTCATCTTTGGTAGTCAATAGGCTTGAGAAAAAATACAAGATGGAAGCTGTGGTGGTTTGAATAAGAACAGCCCGATAGGCTTGTATAGTTGAATGCTTGGTCCCTGGTTGATAGAATTTTTTAGGGGAAGGGTTATAAAGTGTTGCCTTAGAAGAGGTATCTCCCTGCGGTGGGCTTTGGGTTACAAAAGCCCAGTCTCTCTCTGTCTGTCTGTCTCTGTCTCTCCCTCTGTCTCTCTCTGTCTCTCTCTTTGTCTCTGTCTGTCTGTCTGTCTCTCTCTCTCTCTGTGTGTGTGTGTGTGTGTGTGTGTGTGTGTGTGTGTGTGTGTGTGTCTTCCTCCTGCTTGTAGACCATATTAAGCTTTCAGACACTGCTCCAGTGCCAGGCCTGTCTGCCTGTTACATGCTTCCTGCCATGGTGGTCATGAACTAACCCTCTGAAACTGTAACCAAACTCCCAAATGCTTTCTTTTATAAGTTGTCATGGTCTCTTCATGGCAGTATAAAAGTAACTAAGACAGAAGTCCAATGAAGCATAGCATGTGCTATCACAGTCAGTTGATTCGTTTACAATCACAGTGCCCAGGACTACAGGCTTTAGAGCAGCAGCCAGTGCTATCATGTTAACTGAATTCACTTGGCGACCATCCACTGTAAACTTCCAGATCCCATTAGCTTTTGTCACTAGCCACACAGAGTGATTATATTGAGATGTTGCATTTTTCATTAGTCTTGTCGTGTTAGCATGCTTTCATCAAGGCTGTGGTTTCCTATTCTCTTCCTAGAAATTCTAAATTGTTTCCTTTTAAAACATAGAAGAGAACCAGAAGATGAGCTATGCCTTCCTCGTACATCTCCCACAGTCAGATCTCTACAAGTGCTCTTACAGAAGAGAAAAATCTCCCTGCTTGAACATTGCAAGCATTCATAAGACAAACATGTCAATTATCAGTAGAAAGAGAGACTGTGGTGCTATGCAAAGGGTCCAATCGGGCTCACTCATGCTCACAATTACTCCATGTCCTATCATACTATTTAAAAATCTATCTGATTGAGTGTATGAGCCTAGTCCCACAAGAGAACCTAGTGCTTAGTGATCAGGTATATTTCAAAAAGAGATAGAGGTTCATCTTCTCTCCAACCCCTCTTGCCTATCTCCATTGTACATTTCACTGGAGGAGTCCTCTGGTCTCCCAAGGTCAGCAAGAAGAGCTATAAAGAAGCGATTGCTCTAAGACAGCCACGCATTCTGCCCTAACTGTTCTGGTGATCTTTACAAGGGAATCGTGTCCCATAGAAGTAAGGCTTTAGCCTGTGACAGCCATCTTCTGTTTTCTCAGAGCATGGGGGTCATGGAGCAATGACTGAACTGTGCTTCTCTCTGGTGCTTGTTCAAATGACTCTTCTTTGGATATATCAGTCTTCATGGGCATACCCACCTGGCCTTGGGTGTTTGTGGATGGGTTGGATGTTCCCCATTCTGGGCTCTGTTTTGGGATTTCAGGGGTGTCCCGTGACTTAGAGTGGTGCCTTCCTCCTGGGCAGCTTATAGCCCTAAGTGAGCATATTATCAGTGTAAGATGTAGCAAGAATAGTTGTGTGAAGGATTTGACTTTTCAGAGGGAAGGGCAATTTTATAAACTCAATAGTTATATGCCTAGGGAGGGAAGGTCTTTCCATTCAGCACTGAGTGAATTGAGAGTGTATTATCAGTCTTCACATTTAAAATAGCTTCTCCGTGGAATCATGCAGAGAAGCTGTCTCATGCTGGTCATAGGTAGTGATTAAAACAGAAATTCAGAGTAGTCATCAAGAGTCATCTTCACTGTAGGAAGTGAATCTGTCTTGATAATAGTCACTCTCCTTAAATACGGGTCTCATGTGAGGTAGTCTGTGTGCTCCTAGTGGCCTGTAAAAGTGTAATCTTTGTCCAGTCATCCTCACAATGATGGCAAACCAACAGCTCACAGTGTATATCCTACTAATCATAGCATTCCTTGTCTTCCTGGCTTTCCCTATCAGTACTGGTTTGGATCATAGCTCTCTCTTGAGGAATATGCTGACCTTCAGATGTTTCCACTTGCAACTTAGGTCTCCATATACCTGATAGGATTCACAATATGTGCCCCCAGGTGACAACTATAAACACTTGTTAAATTTCACCCCTCTTTCATCAGCCTTCATCCATTATCCCAACTTGTTTTTATCTGTTCCAGTCCTTGTCCTCTCCTATGCCACATTTCTACCAGCCACAAAAAAAATTTCAAAATGTGCCTGAACACAGACCACAGACCTTTGTCTTTTCTTTATTTACCTTGACATCCTGAATCTTGTATTACTTTGGGGGCTGAAACCCAACTTCTTAGAAGATGGCAAAAAGTAACAAGACTCCAAAGGAGATGATGACTAAGCAAGCAGGTGGCTTCGCCACAGTCACCCTACAGATTGTAGCAGGAAGATAATAGGACTCAGTTCATTACAATGCAGCAAACGACAGACCGTGAGCATGTTGGTGCCACTTTCTCTATCCACGAATCCCACAGAGTAATCCAAAGAGGCCAGATGGCAGCTCACACACAGTGGGTTCTGTCACAGTTGACAGACACAAAGCCGAAGTCTCAGCACATGAGGGAGCAATAACACAGCCTCCTCAAGAGCAAGCACCAACGTAGTGGTCAGAGTTGTACTTGTCTGTACTATCTCAGCTGCCTATGTGACAAATCACAGAAATGGTCAGCTCAGGGAAGGCTATGTCCTGGCACAAGCAGCAACAGTGTTCATTGACTTCTGGCCCATGGTGTGCTGCCCCACCTGATGGTGACATCAATCTGAAATGGTCTTCATTCTCAGGACATGTATACTGTCATGACATTGAATGGTTAAAAACACAGCATGCATGGATGCATGTACACACACAGACAAAAGGAGAGAAAGCCTATGGGATAACTGTTAGTAAATGCATCTGTGAAACTGGTGAACAAACATCCTTTGTGCCATTCAACATTTGCACCTTTCCTGAAGTTTGAAACATACTCAAACACATTAATTTTTGTAAAAGAAAAAAAAACAAGCAAAAAAAAACAAAAAACCTTGCAACCCTTTATGCTTACCACGCAAACACCTTCATACCTCGCCAGTTACAACAGGAGAAACAATAACTTGCTTCATAGCAAGGCATTCCATTCTCATAATCCTCTTAGCTTATTTGAAAATGCCACACAGCATTCTCACTTACCCAGGCGGAATTCATGCTGCTGCTCAATGGACATGCTTCATGGCCGGAGCTGAATGGTAATGTACTCCACACCCACTACTTGAAAGGAAAATAAAATGTTTTCATCTAGAAATGAATTGTAAAAGAAAGTCATTTAATTTTTTTTTGAGTTTTTGGTCCGGTCATTAATGACGTAATAGGAAAGGAAAATGTAAATAGAACAAGAGAAAGAGTTTTATTTAAAATGCATTTTCCTTTTTTTTCAAAAAATTTTTTAATTCTTGAATTATTTAAAATTCTAGCTAAAGAAATATAAATAAATTTTTCAAGAAAGACTATCAGTTACAGCTTTACAATGAGCAGTGTATGTACAAACATATTTATAATGACCCAAAAGACATTTATAATAACTACAATATTAATCAATGTCTGAGCACTTAACAAAGATGTGTCGCAGATGAAGATACAGACGACAGTGTTCAGCACAGTTCTTCTGTCCAGAAGATAACTATAAATGTATCCTGTGACCATTCCCCAAGTACTCACTGTCTTTGTTCTCTCTCTTCTTTCAGCTAGAAAATCTGGAAGCAGAAACTGCTCCATTGCCCTAACTGGGTCCCATGCCATCCAGAACCTTGCTGAGCTTGGAGGCCACCATCTCCTTGGAATCAGGTTGCTGTCGGGGTGTGTAGGAGGCTCTGGTTTCCTAGGAAACCTCCTGATCCTGCATCATTCAAAGTCTGTCCTCTCTGGCTACTTCACTTTGCACAGGAGAGACACTCATAGTGCAACAAGCACTCAGAAGGAAGAGATTATATGACACTACTGAGTCCAGCTTGTGTATAGAACCACCAGAAAAACACATGCAGTGGACCACAATACTCTGTGGTATGTGAATTGGGGTCGTCATAGAAGATGACCCTTCTGTATGTAGAATTTCTATTTTCAAGAAAATACTTATGACCTTATCAAAGAAAAACCATCAATTGTTAAATTCACTGTAGTAACCCATAAAGTAAATGCTACCTCTGACCTCTGACCCAGTCACCTTCTATGGAAAGTTCCAGTCTTTCTAGTCTTCTGTGAGGGAATACATTATGTTTGACCCATAGTGTTCACCTTGAAATCCTTGTCTAATTGAGACATGGATGGCACCTCCATTTCTTGGTTTTGTGTTGTTTGAAAGAACACAACCTATTTCTCCCCTGGCTCCATAATGAAAATGGAAGGGATGTAAAATCCAGTGTCAATGGCAGAATGGTTGATTCTCACACAAAAAGGACTTCCTGGGAGTTACAACATGGCGATGGTCCTTCCTAATTCCCTTGCTGTCCCCCAAGTGCTCACAAAGTTACCCAATGAGCTATGCCACCCAAGACAGAAGCCAAGAGTTTTACTACCTTCATTTCTCCGTAATTTCTCCACACTGCATGCTCTCTTCTATGTTATTTTATCAGATGCCCTCTGAATCAGCATGATAAAACAACAGATATTAGCATTAGGTGCCAGGAAAGTATAAGCGTTTTTTAAAAATATGAACCCAATAAATGTGATTACAAGACAGACTCAAACAACCATGTAGAAAAATATGTGATCCATTTTTCAATCCTATGTAGTTAACAAACATGAAATATTAACAATACCCCAAACCACTTTCCCTAAGAATTTGTCATAATCATTATCCTCATCTTTTTTGTTCTTGGATAAATATCAAGATTTCCTTGATAAGATGTCAATCTTCAATGTAGTGTCTCTAAGAAAAGCCCTGTCTGACTAGTTTTTGTGGACGTGACATGCACTGAGATTTAACAGTCTCCTATTTTTAGATCTGGAAGAATGGCCAGTCAGATGGCCCATGCAACGGGGAGTTCTCTACTTTGAACTTTTGTCAGCACTGACTAAATGAACTGAGTCTTTTGTCATCTTCTATGATGACAGAAGTAGAAAACGGGGCCCTGATCCTCCCACCCACCATACGGTTCCAGACTCTGCATGCAGCTGGCAGGTACCACTGTAAAATGTGCATCCCTTCGTCTATCCAACAAGACACAAATATGCCCACAGTTTCTGGAAGACAACTGTCAGAGATCAGAATAGCTGGATTTACTGTCTCAGATCTAATTGGCTATAATTGCATGGACCCAGCCATGCATCCATCCATTAGAAGAGGGGGAAAAATCCAAGTTAAGTGTTTTAATGTTTTTCTTCCAGTGATGCCTCTAATAACCTCCATTTCTCAGACACTGCATGCCAGGACAGATGGGCACTGTGTTGCAGTTTTTACATTTTCTGGTAGAAGTAATTAAAACCAAAATCTTAAAAAGAGTCAGAATTTTAAAATGGATAACACAAACGAGACTCACTAGGGAGAACGAAACATCTCCATGTAAGTACTGAGGAAGAACATTCTTGCTTCCAGTGTGCTGTTTGACACGCGCTCTCTCAAGGGGTAGCACAGTGTTGTCCCTGCTCACGGGCTTCTTTACGGCCATCACTGTTTCTGTATAAGGACCCACTCTTGGTGTGAGTCATCTGGCATGTGGCTGAGAGCAACTTGCACTTGACGTAGGACTTGACCCATGATTGTTTCCTACAAGCATCATATGTGTGTGCACACAGCTCTTCCATGTCATCTCTTAGCAGCTACAAAAAACACACAATGGAAGGGTTCATTTAAAAACAAAACACATTCTAAAGCCAGAAAGGCATCGCCAGGAGTTTTTATGGAAAGCCACTTTCAATGCATGTATGCTAGAACTAACTTGCAACTCAGTGGCGCGGAGAAGCGAGAGCCCACAGTCTGGCAGAGTTAATTTTCTATTGTGATCTAAAGGTAAATAAAATGATGAGCAAAAAGAAAAATTAGGATTAAATTATACAATGTTTTTAAAAAAATAATTTTGGCCTGTCTTACACTAAATGTTTTCTATTATAAATGAAAACTATCGATGTTGAAACAAAACAGTGACTGTGGGAAGCTTAGGAGCTTCACTGATTATATCCACCTTTGGGATAACATGAACACATCTTTGTTCCCTGCTTAGCGATGCCTTTCTGGCTGTGTCTTGGGCAGAAGAAGTCTGATGCTTAGAAATAGGACTATAAAAAGTGGGTGGGTGGTTGGACCCTTGGTGGGACACAGCAAGAGAAAGCAGTGACCTCCTGCCTTCCTCTGTGAGACACGTAAGTGCAGCCACAAGTACAGACTTACTGAACTTCTCAGTACCAGCTTACAGGAAGCACAAAGTGATCTGGTAAAGTCTGTTATTAAACCTATATTAAGTGTGCAATGAGAAGAATCTTGGAAAAAAATAGCTCTTTCTCAGAAAAATGTGCCCAGTGTCTAAAAGCATCTAACATATAACCACTTTCACTGATAGGTATATTTCCTTTCAAGGTTTTTCAACTTTACACAGTATTCATTGGATATTATCTGACAGGATACAGCTTTGGCCCAACCACCCCACACTCTTTCTTTTCCTTTCTCATTTCTCACTTCTTCCCAAGACAGGTTCATGGGCTGGGCTGTCCTCCAGCTCACGGTATAACCCCAGCTGGCCTTCAACTTAGGATCCCTAAGCCTGCTTCAGCCTATGGGTGCACACACCTGGAAGAAGAAGAAAAAAAACAAACTGTGTTGGTACAGTACAAACACAATGCTACTCCTTCATTCATCTAAACCACTCAGTGTTAACCAGGACCGTCCTGTATGGTCCAACATAAATGCAGATATATTTATAATGGTCAAATGACACTTTATCATTTCTGGTTCTAAAAGAATGGTAGCATTGATCCTATCTCACAAGAAGTTGTCTGCTTCTCTCAATGAGCTGCTGCCATCCAGAGCTGTAGCAACAGAGTTTGTTTTCATGGCGCACTCATACTCATGAAATCTAAGATTTGCTTAAAATCCCCCTAAGGACATTAGGCTTTCAGCAGTATATGCAACTCCTATGTAGAAAATGCATGTCTCTTTTGTGATTTCACAGAGGCAGAACAGAGGCCCTTTTGGAGAGAGGGGGCACATTTTTATCTCAACATTGTCACACGCACCATAATAGGAATATTTAGCAGCCAAAAATATCTTTCAGGAAGAGTGTTCTTAAAGGCTGTCTCTGAGTTCCTTCTTCCCACCTCTCTATTTTAATCAAAAAATCCTGAGTCTCAAAAGCAGGCTGTAATATTCCAATTCCTTCCAAACCTCTTGAAAGAAACTTCTGTTGTTTGGCCTCAAACATGAAGATGTTTTATTTTATTGGCATTATCCACTAATGTTGGGAAACTTTCCATGAACACAAAGTTACCAAATGCCAAATGGAAACACAAAGAGAAGTAGTGTATGCTGAGGGAGCCCCAAGAAGAGAAAGGGAAGACATGAAGGCGGTGGTAATTTCCCTAAGAATCGGTTTGGAACTGAACAGTCCCATACACGCAACAGCAGTGGCAAGCCGGGTGATCTAAGCACATTTAAACTAACGCACACCAGAGAGAAGGCAGAGGTTATGTTCGCTTGACTTTTGGGAGACGATCTCTCAAACATGTCAAAGCAGAGGACTCTGGGATTTTCTCCGTTTCAAGGAGAGCAGAAACACCACACCACGATACCTCACAATGTCTGAATCCAGTGTCTGATGCTTTCCGTGCCCTGGATCCCCCTAGTCTGCAGAGATTCTTTGTGGATCTGGTACAACGGCAGTATCATCATTTGGTGTGGCAGCCAAACAACCGAGTCTCAAATTCAATGCCTGTCTCCTCTAGGCTGCAAGTGCCTAGGTAGGCTCAGCTCGGCTGCCAGCATCCTCAGGAAAGCTCAGTGCAGGTGGCCAGCCCTTAGTGCACCCTCCAAAGATCTCCAGAAAGAGGTGAGCCCACAGATCCTGCTGGAATTCTTAGGGTCCTGGGACAAGAATGTGCCATTTGCATTGGTTTTCTTTCTAGAGCGCAGTGCTGAGAAGGAGTGTGTTGGACTGTGTTCTTTCTGTTAGGATAGCAGCACATGAGACTTTTCTTTTGCTGTGGATAAATATATTCATACCTTGAGTATCCTCTTAGGATTCTACCAGACACTTTCAAAAGACAGAAGGTTCTGTGGAGGTCAAATGTGGCCAAACTGGCCCACAAGTGTTTGTGAAGCCTGGTTCCCCTTCGCCCACTTGCTAAGAAATTCAGGCTGTTGCTATTTGATTGTTTGTTTTCTGGTTGGGGGATATGTTACTTGTCATTATTGTTCATCTTTTGTTGTGTTTGGGTCTTTCATTTCTGCCCAAAACGTGTCATTACACAGATGCACTCTCCATAGAAAGAACCTCACCCACCATCTCCCCCTCTGCCTTCTGGCCTAGATGGGTTTCCTTTTGTAATGGCCCCTTTCCGCCCTCCCTGCTTATAGTCCTGAACTCCCAGCCTGACTTCTTGGCTGGCCACTCCCCTTCGCTGTGTCTATTAATGGCTTGCAGGGCTCTATCATGTTAAATATAGAACCATTTAGCATTTAGTGTCTGATGTCTGTCCTTCCAACCCAGAACCCAATCAGCTGGTTCTTGTTCCCCTGAAGCTCTGCAGGTGGCAAAGCCGATTCCTGCTGCCTGCTCCTCCCTCTGCAGGGGTCCATACAGAAAACCTGAAAAATCACAAGGCTTCTTGTTACTCTCTAGAGCTGTAATACAATTTGTTCCCTCCTGCCCCCAGGCTCACCCCTGCTCTTACTCAGTGGGGAGCTGCTACTGATCAGGCTGTATTAACTCACAACTTGTTTGCTCTATGGAAATTCTGGGCTTTTTTTTCTCAGGGGAATAGAGAAACTCAACAGGCCTCCTACCCAGCTGCTTCTTTCCATGCAAGCTATTGAATCTATACAAATTAGATTCAAGTGACAGGTTATTTTAGGGATTTATAATCTCTGTACTGCTGATAGTAATCTGACAAGTGTTCCCAGAGTCCCATTTGTCTGTGACTCAACCACTCAACTTAAGACATGAACTGGAGCAAAATAAGAAACTTCTGAGTTAACCTGAGGAACTGTCAGTGGCTTTAGGTTCTGTTTGTTGGGTTCTGTTGGTTGTTTGGGAGAGGTTTTGTTTGTTGTTGTTGTTATTTTGTCCTGTCTGTTTTTTGAGATAGGGTCTCACTCTACATTCCACAGCATTCTGATGCTCACTCTATATCATAGGCTAACCTTGAATCTTGAACTCTTGGAGCTCCTTCTGACTTAGCCTCCTGAGTTCCAGGGTTACTGGCAAGAGCTACCAGGTTGTTTCCAGTTGGTTTTTGTTGTTTGTTTTTTATAAAACCTATCCATCTATTGAAGGAACCAAATGAAAATGACATTAATCCCAATGACACACGCCTAGTGACCTTTATAATGAATGCCTTCCTCCCAATCAAATATTTTAAATAATCTGAAGACAAAATTATACAAAATAATTCCCAGTAGTGGATGTTCCATCCCTATAATGTTCAATACAACAAACCCCAGTAAAATCTAGGCACTGGGATTGCCCATCGTGGCAATCTGTACGAAAAGACAGCATGGGTGTACATATAAAAACTGGTGTGACTCTTGTGGAGGGCTGATGTTCTAACAGCAAGACTGTAACTTTGAGTAAATAATTGAAAAATCAATTAGGTTACTGTTTTCTTATTGATTCTGAAGACAGAGGAAACATCCTGCTGGCTATTTTCTAACTAGCCTGGCTTCTCGGAGTCGGCCGGAAGCCAGCAGTCACGGACACCATGAAGAGAAGAGTTACCTGAAGAACTGAAGGAGAGAGGAGTCCAGTGAGTGGCAACTGCCAGGGAGTGGCTGGCTATCTCTGACATAAATTTTAAGTCAGGTCATCTTTCTGGCTCACATTTGCTTGGTGTTTGGACATCTCTGTAGAGAAAGTTAGGAAAATAATATTAGTTCGGCTGTCTATACAAAAGTCAGCGTGGCTCTGTCATGTTAAAAGAACAGAGGAGCTTAGACCTAGTTCTGCCTTTTATAATATTTTAAAGGATAACAACTTCATGTCAACATCATGTAAAGTCAGAGATTCCCACACAGAGAAATACAATTTGCATTTTACTGCACACTTCGAGAAAATCAATCACAAAAACTAACCAGAACTGTTTAAATATTAATATATATGTATGTATATGTGTATATATATATATCCCTATTACATGGCAATTATATAGGGATCATAGCATTAAAAATGCCATTATATGGAACCCTATATGCCTTTAGGAACATATCTACAATATAAAAGAAGCATATGAACAGGTAGTAATGATATTTTAATTTGATTAGAATAAAAAATGAAATGACACTTTCTACTTGGCAATACATTCCTGAGCTTTTCACCTAATTAGTAGTTATAATTTTAAATGTGCAATGGTCTTGTTCTCATCTCATTATGTTCCATGGAATATAAGTAAATAAGTTTGCAAATGGATCTTCTAAAAATGCATTGAACAACATCTATCAAATATAACAAATAAACAAGTTTTCATTTTTTTAAGGAAAAGCAGAAAAGCTTAAGTCTAAACATCTGGTGTGTTTTAATAACACCTACAGTGCATTCTTGATATCCAAAGACAATTTCTGCTAGAAAAAAGGAAAAAGTTGAACTTCATAGTTTTAATTACACTTGAAATTCTGGTAACCAATGACAGTGTTCAAAAATAACCCATAATGCTACAGAGGAGAAAAAGAACATATATGATAATGAATCTGGTTAGATTCTCATGCAGTTAAGTTCAAATATTTTAAGTAGATCATCACCTGGGAGCTGCATTTCTCTCCAGCTGCAGAAGTGGAGGCAGATACCCTTCTTTGGACCATAGCATCATTGAGTCTACTCTAATTGGAGTGTCTAGCCTCCCACCCATGCATCTCCTCCTGGCGCTCCGGGGTATGGAAGAAGACTGCAACTGACTCCTTTCTTCAAGTTCAGAGGTGAAATGAATCTGGAACCCTGCCACTCAGCATATGAGGTCAGCTTCTATAATAATAGAACATTTTAATTTATGGAGAAATGTCAGCAAGTAGCACACACAAAAACAGAAGTGTGACAGAGTTCGTGCTTTCCAGATTTTTGTGTCCATGTAAGTGAAAGCACAACCATATCTTCCAAAACTGCGTGTGAAATCCACGGGCACAGCAGTGAACACAGCATGCCGTCTAGCTGGGTTCTTTTCAGCAATCTCCCAACACACATCCACACATGCACTTTCATGCGCACACACACATGCACACACACACACCTCCCAAAAGTATGTTTCCCTAGGAATCTGTGTCATACCTCTTTGCCCCTGCCAGAGACACATGGTTTGCTGTAACGGTGCGCAGAGGAATGGTCAAAGGCATGCAGCATTCTTTCCTGGGAATCCCTCCTTTAGTGTTTGCTTATTTGTTTACATCATTATGCTGGCCCTACAATAATGTTACTATTAAAAAACAAACACCCTCACTTGCAGAAAAGAATAAGCTATCATTCCCTCCTTTGTGTGTATTTCCATGTAGGAAAAGATGATCAAATGTAGCTTTTCCAAAAATTATCTGAGATATCACAGTGACTTCTATATAGATTAAAGTATTGACTAGTACATCAAGCATTAAAAACATTGCTGAATTCTTTTTGCAGCATTCCTATTTGACTGTTTAATGGAAGTTGTGTGTAAAAACAACATGCAAACTCTTGCACTGTGTTACTCTTGATGTGCCAGACTCCATAAACATTTTGGGCTGTATTGTGATTTTTCTTGCATGTAATGTATGATTATCTGACTAATAAAGAAAACTTACTAGCTAAGCAAATATAATTTGTCTTTTTTTATTCTCAAATGATAACAGGTATGTTTGAAGTCATTAGTCTCATGAGGACCTGTGTTCAATCTCCAGCACCTTTGTTAATAAATAAATAAATAAAAGCCAAGTATGATGATATGCACTTGTAATTCCAGAGTTAGGAAGGTGAAGGTATGCATATCCCCACAGATCACTAGCCAGCCTTCCTAATACATGAGCTCTAGGTCCTAGTAAAAGACCTTGTCTCAAAAAATAAGGTAGACATCACTTGAGGAATTATAACCTAGTTGATTTCTGGCCTCTGCATGCATACATATCTGCATACACACATGTACCCACATATAGGCAAATGTGCACACACGCACACATACGCACACACAAATAATATATTGTATATTCTCCAGATAAATGTTGCAATGTAGGCTTAAGCTAAAGGATTATACTAATTGTATATTAATAACTAAAATCTTTTAAACAATATTAACTTTGGTATGCAAAGAAATGAAAGAAGTAGGATTCTGTCTTCACAATTTCTTATTTTAGAATCAGAGTAGCCCCAAACCTCAACAAATATAGTTTTATTAGATGAAATTGTCAATCAAGCCAAATAGCAAAACAGCAACAAAAATTCTCTGTTGTAAACTACAGAGTTGAAAATATGAATCACTAAAGTCATTCCTGATATGCTTTCTAAAAATAAGCATGTTATTGATAGACACTAAGCAATAACGTTCTTTGTAAGAAATAAGGGCTTCAATAGGTGAAGTGGAGAGCACATTTACTGGTTAGGTGTTATTTTGAATGTACCATGCTTGTACATTTAGTGAGAAAATAAACTACTTCAATACCTGGAAGACTTCATATTTTTTATTTACAGAGACTGCTATCTGTTCCTGTGTGGATTCTATAGACCACCACCAGATGCAGCTCCCTGACACATGCTTTTGTCACTCTTCTACTGCTCAAAGAGAGTTTCACTGGTGCCCATTCCCTAACAGTTAAGGACCAATCCTACCCATGACCTCCAACAGCCTTCATACTCATAGGAAATATACCAAAATAGACATCTGGGCTCCTCCCAATCTTAGCACCATTAGCAATCCTCATATGTACACATCTGGTTCACATGAGACAACCATTTCCCTTTACATTTCCCCAAAAACATTAGAATTCTTCCTTTTATAATATGCCTACATAAATATTTTATCTGTTCTTTACTAGGCTGTGTATTATGCTCAAATGGCTTATAGTTGTTTATATTTTCTCACTGGAGATATACACAGATAGACATGTGTATATATAACTGTGTGCATGTGTAGATATAGAATAGGGATATACCACTTAATTCTGTTCAGATGCCTACTGAAAATGAAGAGTTGCGTTGTTACCCAAAGACTAGAAATGAGCTACCCTTTCCGAAAGCCTGAAGCAGAGATGTTCCATCCAAAGGATTGGCAAAGAGCCTCATGGGATAGAGTCGACTTGTCAACACGCTATCCCTTTCTAATTACCAACATTCAATCCAAGCCTGTGTGTGTGTGTGTGTGTGTGTGTTATCCAGAAGGAAAGAGCTCAGATTTACAGGGTACAGATCTGATGATTGCAGCAGATACAACATCCCTGAATAACCCACCCTCAGCTGCTGGAACACTCCTACTCCCTCAAGGAGTAGCTGAGAAAGGTAGCATTCTAGGCAGTGAAAACACCGGAGATATAACATACCAGGAACTACACATCATATTCAGGACAGCAACATGTTAAAAGATATTAGCCATGACTCAGAAACTCCCTCCCCAAACTGCTGACCCAGATAGCAGGAGTAATCAGGTCACCCTGAACAAATATCCTTCCAGAAATTGGCCAGCTGAGGAGATTATTTAAAAATTCATGTTCATTTTCAGGGTAGAGTTGAAGAGAAACACTATTCAAGAGCTGAAAGTGAGAAGAGCTAACCCAGTTATCAAAAATAAGTGATAGAAATGGCTCATTGAAATGAGAGTTCATGTTGGGAAGAGAAAACTTTGGCCTTAAATTATCCAACACTTGTAATGGGGTCATAGGACTCCCAGGGGCAGGCTTGTGGATAGGCAAATCTCAGACCATTTCCCATGTCTTGATAAACTTCTTTATTGTTTCCTTTTTCACTGCATGTAATTAATTGAGGATAGATTTTGCAAAGACAAAATAGGTTATAATAATAAGATGTATATGAGAGCCACATTGTCCCTCCGGTTAGTAGGCTATGTATCCATGCCTGAAGATACTGTTACACTTGATCTCTGTCTACATAAGGGCAATGTTAGCTGCTATTACTTCTGTCTTCTCCCTAGTGACAGAACCCATGGCCAGAGCTGAACAATCGCAATACTGGTCTCTCTGGTTTGCTTGAGACTGAGGTCCTGAAGTATAGGCCTTTCCCAACCCTGCAGAGACCTGGAGCCCAAAAAAAATGAAGTCAGTAGCTACGGACACCCTCCAAAATTTCCCTAACGGAGCCTGGCATTTATGGTTGTCCTTGTTGAAAAGAAGTGCGTGTTTTCTAAGAGAAAACTCAAAGCAAGTATGCTAAACACTTCAAGACAGAGAAAGAAAATTAAAAGAATGTGATATGAAATATTCTCTAGAGCAGTAAACATAAACACACCTGACAGGTGGCATCTACGGCTGCTTTCTATACTGCGTCCTAAAGTGTGGGAGGGGCTGTTGTTTAGAAAGGATCCCAACATGTTGCTTGTGACGGAAGGGTGGAAGAGGGAACCAAGCAAAAAGTCAGTAGCTGCCACCTCTGCCAAAAGAAAACTCCTTTATTGCCATAACACAAAGACAAGATCATCAATACCAGCGGCCTATTGAGTGGTGCTTGGTCACACTCCCATCCTCACTCACGTGACCAGCGTGCCAGCAAACCCTCTGATGTGCGGGCCCTGAGGGTTCCATATCAAGTTCACAATTATCTTTCAGGTAAAAAAGGAATTGCTGTGGCGGCTGCTGCTTATGCAACCACAAATCCATGGTATATTTTCAGATAGCTGGTATATTTTCAGAGAAGAAATCGGAGAGAAAGACACTTAGGGACTCTGGCAAGTGTGAGCAGCCACTTCAGTCAACCCCTAGCATGCATCCAACTTGCAAGGAATGTTATCACATGCTTATTGCTCCTTTATTGTGTATATAAGGAAAGCTACAACGCAAAGGCCTCCCCAAAGTTCCCAGGGAGGTGTCACTGACAGAAATCCCACTTGAATTCATTGAACCCCAGAACAGTTGAGGAGGCAAGTGAGTGTACAGACTCCAACAAGACATCCCCTGATTTAGACACAAAATCAGCTCAGAGAGCCTGTGACATCAAGACGCAAGGCACTTTGGGGTTGTGAGTCAGTTTTCTTCTCCAGGCAATTAGCAGTTACCAGCATTTATTCAGTGAACGGGAGTCAGGCAAACAGACAGATGCTGACAGTCTGTCATTACCACACAAAAGAACTGCAGCTTTTATCCTCTCTGAGGAAGGAAGACTTTAAGAACTTCTCAACTTTCGGGCTCACACGCTCCCCAGCCCTATGATTTATTGCATCATCGACCTTAAAAATAATATAAAGCTCAGCCATTTCTATTTGAGGAGCTGCTTGCAGGTGCACCCCCCCCCCAAGGCTCCTGTGGAGCTCACAGAGACTGTTGACAGAGACTGGGGAGCATGGAGGCACTGAGTCAGCAGCCCACAGAGGGCGCCAGGCTACACCCCTCAGGCTGGCTCATTCCTAGGAAGGGCCCCCTTTCTAGTCTCATTGGTGTTGCTGCGGTTGAAAAGAAAACGCAACCTCGTAGAGGAAGAGTTACAGTCCATCGCTGAGGAAAAGTCAAAGCAGGAACTTTGAACAGCTAGTCACACAGCTTCCACAGTCAAGAGAAGAGGGGAAAGTTAAAGCATGCAGGCATACTCGCTAGCAAGCTGCCTTGCTTGAGGTGTCTGAGTTCTCCACCCACGCAACTCAGGCCCCCTGGCTAAGGAATAGTGCTGCCCACAGTGGACTGACTCATCGCACATTAATTAGCCTAATTGGATAATGCCCCACAGATATGCTCACGGGCCAACCCAATGTAGACAATTCCTCATCGAGCTCCTCTTCACAAACGCCTCTGTTTTGTGTCACGATGACAATAAAAGCTGGCTGCCCCAGCACCCTGCCTGCGTGTGTCCTTCCCTCACTATGCCGATTGTGTTTCCATGTGATCAGAACATACACAAGACCTGCTTGCCATGTGCCAGTCGTGAGTCAGCACTAGATACTTATAGAAGCCAAAATGAATGGATCATCTACCCAGGGACCTGGCTCTCTTCCGCCATAGACTTTCGGTTTGACCAAAAACTGAGGAAGGAAGCCAAGAGCAATTAGTCTGATAAAGTTACCATCCAGCACCATCTAACCACAGTCTTGTCTACCTTCAATGCTGGTGGGAGCATAGTTTGGAGAAACACTATTGCTGTCTCGGGGGTGGGGGGGCAGCCTCTAGCAGCACAGGGCTTTGACAGGAATCCAAGTAGTCACGAGGCTAAACTTTTCTATCTGAGGGGTTAGGGAAAAAGGCGCTCATAAACTCTCTGGATGGTTTCCTTCTTTATTCTCTTCTCTCTTTGTTTTTTACCTTTATTCTCTCTCTTTGCTCTCTCTCTCTTTGTTCTCTCTCTCTCTTTCCACACATGTTTTTTCACAGCTTTTATACCCCAACGGAATCTTCCAGAGAGTACAAGAGTCAAAAAAGTTGCATTTCATATCTCAAGTGAATGAATGATTATGGGTAAAAATATGTTTTTCGCCTCCCTCACATTATTAAACATTTTGTGTACTATAGGTAGAATACAAATTATCTCAAGAACCCACATACATTCATACCCAAGCAACTTATTATAGATTAACTGTGTGGGCAAGCAAGGTGTTCTTGTTAGGTCTTTTTACTGGCAGGCTGCATTTTGCAGTTACAAAGAAAGGATCAATTACTTTATTACTT